ATTTAGTGAAAGTATTAAAAGATACAATAAAGGCCAGGGATTTAGCTCAGTGGTTCCGGCGCCTGTCTCGCAAGTGCAAGGTCCCAAGTTCAATGCCCGGTAACAAAAAAAATCCAAAAAACAAACAAAAAAGATCAATAAAGGACTGATAAACCAAAGACGATGGTGGTGTGACCATGAACTAGACGATATGATTATTTTAATTATCCACACCTTAGGTCCAATGGAAACAAGCAAGAAGCAGTCAGAGCCCCAGATATTCCTGCATTCTAGGGGACTTCCTTGTCTCCATCCCAGGAGAAGACTAAAGGGGTATTTTATTCTCTGGAAATATTATAAGGTCTTCAAATTGGGAGACCATGGGCCTAGGTGGTAGTAAATATATCATTCTGAAAACATGGGAATGAGGGGAGTACATATGTCTAGCATATGTGAGGCCTAGGTTTGATCTCCAGCACTGCAAAACAAACACACACACACACACACACACACACACACACACACACACACACGCACGCAAGGTTATCTGAAGCTTGAATGATGAGGCTCTCGGTATTTTTCTGCAGTTGGCTCCAAGAACACATTTGCATCTAGTATGTAATCTCAAAGCTTGTCTAGGGAACCAAAATACTAGTCCCAGAGAAAAGCCAGAAAGGTATTAACATCATGGGTTCCCCAAAGACATGGCCTCGTGAACGCCCACAGTGGTAAACCTCCCCTGGTACACACCAGGCTTCAATGATGTACTCTTACGGAATAGGGGTAGATTCCCAGGGAGTACTAGTCATTTGGGAAAACCTGGCTAGTTATCAATTTATGGTTTCTCATCCCCAAATCCATCCTTAATACTTGAGCCACACTGTATAATTAAAAACTTGAGCATACGAGGCAGTGGTTCAATGCATCAGAAACTGAGAGACTAGCTTCAGTAGTGTCCTTGATCTGCACTCTCTTTACTCAACTGCAGTTTCTGCAGCAGTTCAGTCCTTCCTTTAGGCAACTGTCTCCCCAACCTAGTCAGCAGTTCTAGGACCAGTTAATAGCCCAACTTTATGCACTATTAACAATGCTGTTTCCTATGGAAATGTGGAGAGTTTGAGGGATTTGGAACTGATCAAGCAAAAACAGACAACCATGAGAAGCAGTAATGTATAAGTTTTACTGGGTAATATTTAGACAGGGTGTTTTTTTTCAATACCGGGGAGTGAACTAAGGACCTTGCGCTTCAAGGCAGGCACGGCACCACTGAGCTAAACCGCCGGCCCTAGACAGGGTGTTATAAGTTCCTAATAGCACAAGACTGTCCAGCAGTTTATCACAAGGGGACTGCCATTTAGAACAGGACAAAGGAACTCCTGAGGAACAGGGAAATGATAGACATGACAGTATCTATGTGATGTAGCTCAGCAGTGCTGCAGTGGGAGTTCTCTGGGCCAGAGAACTCTGAAGGACCATGGTAGCATGAGGTTTTATACCTACAAAGTTCTATCTTATTCATATCCAGCCAAATGTGGGTTGAAGCTTCACAGCACATGCAAAGCAGGCAGGCAATAAATGGCTAAAATATACTTATCTGGATTTTTAAAAAATTTGGATTATTTAAAAAATAATTAGGGAGGCCAGGGATTTAGCTCAGTGGTTCTGCCACCTGTATTGCAAGTGCAAGGTCCCGAGTTCGATCCCCAGTACCAAGAAAAAAAAAAATTAGGGATAGGTGTGTTGACACATCCCTGTAATTCTGGCTTAGAGGCAGGGGCATGAGGCAGGAGGATTGTGAGTTCAAAGCCAGCCTGGGCAACTCAGTGAGAATCTGTCTCAAAATTTAAAAAAAGGGCTAGTGGTGTAGTTCAGTGTGAGGGCACTTGACTAGCATAGCATATATGTAGCCCTAGGTTCAATTGCAGTACTGGGGGGCAGAAAGGAGGGATGTGTGAAAACTTAATTTTGGTACTAGAGGGGTTTTGAACTAATGGGTCTAAGCCTCCCATGAGAAATATACCACTTTGGGGTCAACACCCAGAGGCCAATTTATATTGGTTAATAAACTAGTTTAGACTAGAGTAAGTAAGAATGCTGTGGGAGACTTCTTCAGTAAGACAAAAATGATACAATATCAATGTGCTTTAATGTACTCAATAAAGGGATTTAAATAACTAGGGGAGAGAGATGACAGGGAAGAGTAAGAAACTGATACAAAGAAAATAATACCAAAATATAGGACATTAACTCAAGAGAAAACAAAATGTTATACAGAAAAAAAAGGCCAGAGGTATAGCTACGTGGTAGAACCCTTGCCTATGTGAGGCCCTAGGTTCTAGTCCCAGCAACAGGAAAAAAAAGCAAAAAAGAAAGAAAGAAAGAGAAAAAGAAAAAAGGACAGAGAAGACACAGCCTCATAGCTGAATAGTGTGAGTGGTGGTATTTGATCTTGTCCAAATGATGTTATGTTTTATTACGAACATGAAGTAGAAGGAAATATTGTACTAACATGTCATGGGGGGGGGGAAGAGAGGGGGAAGGGGGAAGGGAGGGAGGGAGAGAGGGGGAGAGAGAGAGAGAATATGAATGAGAATGCGCAGGGAAACCATCTTCAATAAGGCAAGGCAACAGATAATGCCTATAACTAAAAATCCAACAAGTGGAAATACATGCATATTTAGAGATGGAAGCAAACAGAATTGAGTGTGTACGTCCCAAATGATAACAGGCACGGTGGCATGTGCCTGCAGATCCAGCTACTTGGGAGGCTAAGACAGGAGGATCACTTGAGCCCATAAGTATGGGACCAGCATCGGGAATTTAACAAGTCCATCTCTTGAAAAAAACTAAAAATTGCAAACAATGCAAATGTTCATTCATAGAAAAAAATAAATTTATGCTATTTTAATACAATGAACTACTGTTATATAACCACCAATACATGGAATGACATGGATAAAACTGACATGGACAGTTATGATGAGCAAGAAAAAAGAAACCAGACTCAGAGGAGTGTACACTGTGTGATTCTACTTATATGAAGTTTAAGAACAGGCAGGGCCAGGAATTTAGCTCAGTGGTTTCACCACCTGCTGCACAAGCGCAAAGACCTGAGTTCAATCCCTGGTACCAAAAAAAAAAAAAGATAGATTTGGGCCGGGGATTTAGCTCAGTGGTTCCGGTGCCTGCCTCGAAAGTGCAAGGTCCCGAGTTCGATCTCTGGTACCAAAAAAAAAAAAAAAGCCTTTCTAAAGAACAGGCAATCTGGGAGGCTGAAGCAGGAGGAAGACAAGTTGGAACCCAGGCTGAGCAATTTAGCAACTTAGCAAGACCTTGTCTCAAGGTAAAATAAAATAAGGGGCTGGGGGTCATGCAAAAGCCCTAGGTTCAATCCTCAGGACCACCACTACCAGAAACCAAACTAAACCAAACCAAATGAGGCAAAAAAAAAAATCTATGGAGCTAATGGACTAGCAAATACCCTATTTGTGGTGGGGGATTAATGAGTACTTATGATTTGTGCATTATATTATATGTAGGTTATATTTCAATTCAAGAAAGCAATATGGTGGGGCCGCAGATTTAGCTCAATAGCGCTGCGCCTGCCTCACAAGTGCAAGGTCCTGAATTCAATCCCCAGTATCAAAAAAAAAAAAAAAAAAAAGCAATATGGAGGCAAACCATAAATGAATCAGGCAGAAAAAAGTGGTTGCCTCTAAGAAGGATAATGGGGTAGGTTGCAGATTCTTTGTAATAAGCCTTGCTGAACTTCTGTATTCTAAAATAAATGTGAATTTGTAACTTTGATAAAAATATAATGAAATAAGGGAGTAAAAAGAAAAAAGACTATGGACTTTGGAGTTGGTCCTGAATTCATATTAACTCCTTTTTTCCTCTTTCTTGTTGTTTTTGCAGAGCCAAGGATAGAACCCAGGGCCTCGTACATGCTATGCAAATGCTCTATCACTGGAGCTACAGCTCCAGGCCTAGGCCTGTGTTCAAATATCAATTCCACCATTTACTATTTGGATAACAGTGGCAAACTGAACTGGATCTCTAGCCCTGGTTGTCCCTCTCTTAAATTTAGGCTAAGAGCATCAGGAGAAAAATAACAGAATTAGTGGATCGAAAGCATTCATCAGAAATATTTGAAGTCCTTTGCACATAAATAATCAGTACTTGATAAATGCTCATTTTCTTCCCACCTACCATTTTCCTTTGGATATACTTAGAACTAATTACACAGACTGCTCCCGAGGATCCATTACCCCTGTTTATATTGTTCTGGCTCCAGTCCAGGTACCTCACAGCTCTCTGGCCTCATTGCTCATATATTCCATCACTCCTTTGCAGGTCACCTAACTCACTTCTCTCTTTGAAAAATGCACTGGGCTCCCTCAACCACCACTTGAGTGTCCTCCTCCATCCAACAATTACAGAAGCTGGGACCAGAATTGTGAAAAGAATTAAGTTCATGAACTGAGTCACCATTGTACCCCTATGACAACTGTCACTTCCTCTGTAGGGTTTAGTTACCTCACCAGTTCATAAGGATTGAATAAAATAATCCCTAATTTTTTTCTTTCTTTCTTTTTTTTTGGTACCAGAGATCGAACTCGGGTCCTTGTGCTTGTGCAGCAGGTGGTGAAACCACTGAGCTAAATCCCCGGCCCCCCTAATTTTTTTCAATAATAACATTTTAGTTTCTTTTCATTTTTCTTCTGAAATAACTATTTCTTTCTTTTTTTTTTTTTTGGTACCGGAGATGGAACTCAGGACCCTGTGCTTGCAAGGCAGGCACAGTGCCACTGAGCTAAATCCCCAGCCCTGAAATAACTATATCTGTGAAGCCTTTCCCAGACCCCCTGATGGCTCTAAAGATGCTTGGTGAGGCACATGATATTGCCACACATTAACAGATGGCATGTCATTTACAAGGGACAGGTGGGGAGAGAGAGGTTTTCTCTCATCTTTCCAAATGTCAATGGTCATGTGGCCCTGAGTCAATGCCTCCTCCAAAAGACTGGCCTTTGCAGGGTTACATGCAGCTCAGACTGCACTGGAAGCACCATCTGCCAGGATCAGGTAAACAATGAGTACTCTTAGGTAAAAAGTGGCTTCACATGCACAATAAACCCAGCTTCCTTGGTTTCACAGGCACTTACCTGCCCAAAATGATGAGCCAAAATAATGTCCACAACATTGGTTGTAAAGCCGGAGAGCTAAAAAGATAAAAGTCTCTGTGTTAAGGGAATACCATATATAAAAAACTTATCAGGCTACTTAAGGTTAGTTTACTGTATATGGTGTTCCTCAAAAAACAAAAACTCACAGTTCAGTATTACACATTTTCATGAGATAGTGGTTTCAAACACAACAAAAAGAAAACAAGTTAAAAAAAAAAAGGAGAGGTCTCCCTTCCAGGGTAGTAACAGAGCTTGCTTTGAAATAGGGAGCTGGAGCTGGACAACAGTGTGCACCTGTAGTCTCAGCTACTCATGAGGGTGGAGTGGATCATTTGAGCCCAGGAATTTGAGACTGCTCTGGGCCACAGAGCAAGACCTCATCTCAAAAAAAAAAAAAAAAAAGGAAGACGAGGAAGAGGAAGAAGAAGAGGGGGCTTTGAAGTTGAGCCCTAAAACACATGGCTATTTGGTACTTCATTTCTGCCTATATTTCTGCGTTTACAGTAGATAGGGGATAAAAATTAACTTACAACTGTTCCCAAGACAGCTGAGAGAAAAAAAGAAACCTAGTTTTTTCTTCCAGTTTTTGCTGTCTTTATTTCAGGGAGTGGGAGGAAATAGCTATATTTACAGAATGTTCTTGCATTTTGAACATTTTTCTTCTAATTCTTTCCACTTCAAAATGATGCATCTCGTTCTAATAAATGCAGGAATCTGTAAATCTGAAGACAGACTATTTTTGGAAAAACTTCCAACTCAAATTATGTTGCTGATTCCCCTTTAAGCTTCTTAATTGCTGAATTCCTACTTAGACTTGGATAAGAGCTGAGGTACTGAGTTGGGGGTAGGAATGGAGGTGAGGGAGGCACACATGGGCATACGTGAAGCAGAATCCTAGAGTCCCAGAAAGATTAAGAAAGTAGTCCTGAAATCTTCACGTGGGTTGTCAAGGATCCATAGGTCAATGTAATCTTTTTTTTTTGGTACCAGGTATCAATCTTGGGACCTTGCCACTTGTGAGGCAGGCGGCAGAACCACTGAGCTAAATCTCTGGTCCAAGGATCCATAGGTTGTAAATTAAAGATAATTAGAATTAAAAACCAAATGTTACTGGGGCCAAGGATTTAGCTCAGTGGTGCTGTCACCTGCCTCGAAAGTGTAAGGTTCTGGGTTCAATCTCCAGTACCACAAAAAAACAAAAAAACAAACCAAAATGAAAACATAAGTACTCATAGATCTGAAGTTTTATATGAATTTTATCAGATAGTTCTTTTTTTTTTTTGGTACCGGGCAACGAACTCAGGACCTTGCGCTTGAGAGGCAGGTGGCAGCACCAAGCTAAATCCCTGGCTCCAGGTAGTTACGTGTTAAGTGAAAGTGTTCAGGAAAGTGTTAATATATCCACATATGACATAGAAATTAGAACAAATTTTATGTAAGTCAGACTGTAAGAAGTTCCAAAGCATGGTAGCTGGGGATTTAGCTCAGTGGTTCCGCCGCCTGCCTCACAAGTGCAAGGACCCGAGTTCGTCCCTGGTACCAAAAAAAAAAAAAAAGAAGAAGAAGTTCTAAAGCATCTGACAATAGCATTAACAGGGCTGGGGATTTAGCTCAGTGGTGCTGCACCTGCCTTGCAACAGCAAGGTTCTGAGTTTGATCCCTGGTACCAAAAAAAAAATAGCATTAACATATTTCATCCAAAGCTAGGGAATGCATCACTTCTCCAAAACTTAAGGGTGGGAAGGGATGAACAAAATATTTAGGCCGGAGATTTAGGTCTGGTTCTGCTGCCTGCCTCGAAGGCGCAAGGACACAAGTTTGATCTCTGGTACCAAAAAATCAAAACAAAACAAAACAAATAATTAGAATTTGGTCTGCTGATAGGTAGGTTATTTCAAAATAATTAAAAAGTAATATATGCTTATTGTAGAAAATTAGGGAAAGAATATGAAAAATACCGTTTATTTGTAACAGCCAAAGATGTAATCATCAATAATACACTGTATGTTCTTTTCTTATGCATATGTATTTAACAAAATTAGGATCATATTAGATGGTTTTATATCAATTTTTCACTTAAAAATACTTTTCTCCTATCTTTAATATATGTTTTTATAAAAACCAGATAGCAGAGGGCATTGAGCTACATCCTGAGACAGTCTTAATAGGCTGCCCAAACTAGCTTTAAACTTGCAATCCTCCTGCCTTAGCCTAAATAGTTAGGATTATGGGCATGTGGCATTGCACTCAGCTACAACATTAAAAAAAAATAATAAGGGCCAGGGATTTAGCTCAGTGGCACTGCACCTGTCTTGCAAGAGCAAGGTCTTGAGTTTGATACCCAGTACCACCCCAAAAATAAAACAAAAAATAAAAATTAAAATAAAAAAAGTTTTTTGAGACAAGGTCTTGCTATGTAGTTCAGGCTGCCCTTGAACTAACTATGTAGTCCCAGCTGGCCTTAAACTCATGGTGATCCTCTTGCCTCAGCCTCCCAAGTGCTGGGATTACAGATGTGCACCACCTTGGCTGGCTAACAAAATTTTTTTTTTGGTACCAGAGATTGAACTCAAGACCTTGCGCTTGCTTGCAAGGCAGATGCTGGCGCCACTGAGCTAAATCTCCGGCCCCCAAGATTTTTTAAAATTCAGTTTATTGGTACATTTTAGGTATATAAAATGATGACATTCATCATTGGGAATTTGTACCTTTACATAATATATCTTTCTTATTTATTTATTTATTTTACATAATATATCTTGATTCTTATTTTTTTTCTCATTCCCCTGCCCTCCCTTCAACCCCTCCAACCCTCCCTATTTATAAAAACTTTGTTTCCGTTTTTTTCCTTTTCTCCAAAATTTTTTGATAGTATACTTTTCTCCTCTACAGTTGTATCAAAATTTTGTTACCTTGTACTCAGGCACTTAAGCTGTTTCTTTTTGTCTTATAAACAATGCTTTAATGACTACCTTGGTTCTATGACTTTCTATGTGTCCTTAAGCAAATGACTTATCTCTCTATGGGATAATATACCAATTTCACTGGGTTCTCCTGAGAATGAAAAGTTTATATATAAAAAGGTTAAGAGGAGTGCCTGGTGCACAGTAAGCACTGTATAGGTGTTCTTTAAAAATCAATAACCTAGGACCGGGGATTTAGCTCAGTGGTTTTGCCGCCTGCTGCGCAAGCACAAGGACCCAAGTTCGATCCCCGGTACCAAAAAAAAAAAAAAAATCGATAACCTTCTATTTAAATCTTTATCACTATCCTTCAAATAGGTTCTCAGATATCAAATCATTGTCTCTTATGGTTGGAAGTATCAACAAATATTCCTGATACATGTGATGCTAGTGGTGGTATTTTAGAGAATCTCTTTCAATGATGTATTAGAACATTTACAGTAACTTAAAAGTATTCAGAGGGCTTACCTAGTGTTAGGGAGACAGCTCAGTGGTAGAATGCATGCCTAGTATGCAAGAGACTCTGGGCTGGATTTCCAGCACTAAGGGGAGGATGGGGGGAGTGGTGCATGTGTGGGAGTGTCTTGCCTAGCATGTGTGAGGCTCTGGGTTTGATCTCCACCATGGGGAAAAATTATCAAACAATCAACAACAAAAAAGTATTTAGAGGCATATGGCTGTGATCCCAGAGGCTACTCAAGAGGCTGAAGCAGGATGATCACAAGATTTGGTCCAGCCTGGGCAACTTGGCAAGGCCTTGTCTCAAAAATAAAGTAAAAGCTAGAGATGCAGTTCAGTGCAGAGCATGCACAAGCCCTGGGTTTAATCCTTAGTCAAAAAAAGGAGAAAGTATTTAGAAGTAGGCATTTGTTAAAATGGCTTTTCACTAGGTATCTTTTAGCAAGCAATGAAGGCTTAGGTTATTTTTCTCTTTAGAAAACATCACTGATTTAATCTAAAAATCTCACAGATTAAAATAAACACATAAATATTTTATACGTTAGCAAGAAAATATTTCAAAACAGTTTTCTTTCCAACTTAGAAATAGTGAATCATTTTTAGCACAGGTGAGTTCAATGCAAAGGGACATAATATAATGCTTTAATCCTTTTCTTTTACTCTGGTTCAGTAATTGGATTTGTTTATATTTGTAGAGTTATTAGCATACTCTTAGTTTCCTATCTCAGCACAGATATTAGAGTTCAAGTTTCTGCATTTTTCAGATAGAAAACAATAAATCCACATGTCTTTGGGAACAGTAGTACAGAAAACAGCACAAAACAATGGAACCTAATAAAGATTTTTCTCTTCAAATTCTTCTTCCTTGAATTTTTCTAAGTAACATACATGAATTTCATGCAAAAATTCAAAAAATGACAACCTTTGGCATCAACAGGTTAAAAAGAATAAAAATGCAAACCACAAACTAGAAGATATTTGAGATACATGAACCAAGGAAAAGACTTACATGCAGATTTTTTAATTAAAAATGGAAGGAACAGGAAATGAAGGAAAAGACTTGAACAAGTACTTTACAAGAGGATATTCAACAAAAGGTACTTATTGCTGCTTAGGGAAATGGAAATTAAAACCCAGTATTATTTACTTATATAAGCACAACTAAAATGAAAAAGATGGTACAGAGCTGGGGCTGTAGCTCTGTGGCTGAGCACCTGCCTGGCTTGTGGAAGGCTCTAGGTTTGATCAACAGGGCTGCCAAAAAAAGAAAAAAAGGGTACAAAAGCTGTTATTTTAGTAAGTACAGTTAGATTGGTGATAAGTACCACTTAAAAACAAATTAATATTGTAACAAGGTCCCGAGTTTGATCCCTGGTACAAAAAAAAAATTAATATTGTAAATAAAACTGCTCATCTTTATAAAAATGAAAAGGACAATATGAAATGTTGGTGAGAATGTGAGCTGGAACTTGCATATGTTGCTGGTGTGTAAACTGGCCAAATGCTTTGGAAAACTGCTAATATCTGCACTGAAGTAAATATATAACTGCCCTATGATGCAGCAATTTCAATTCTAGGTATAAACCTAGAGAAACAAACACATGTCTACTGAAAGACAAAAGAATGTGTTGGCAGCTGTATTCATAACAACCAAGTAACAGAAACTCATTTTGGATATATACATATATCTATATATACCTATATCTATCTATTTATCTATCTCTATATATTTACCTATCTATATCTAAATACGGTAGTGGGGATTGAACCCAGGGAATGGTGGTATATTCCTAATCCTTTTCTCCCCCTGGTACTGGGAAGCAAACTCAGGACCTTACACTTGCCAGGCAGGTGAGCTAAATCCCCGGGCCATCCCTAATCTTTTTTATTCTGAGACATGGTCTTGCTAAGTTGCCTAGGCTGGCCTGGAACCTGCAATTCTTCTTCCTCCGCCTATTGAGTAGACAGGATTACAGGTTGTGCGCCAACATGCTCAACCACAAAATATATTTTGTAGATAGACTATTAAATAGCAATTAAAAAGAAGTACTGCTGGGCCAGGGATTTAACTCAGTGGTTCCAGCACCTGCCTCGCAAGCTCAAGGTCCCGAGTGTGATCCCCAGTACCCACCCACCCCCCAAAAAAGAAGTACTGCTACACCACACAACATGAATATCACAGATGCAATAATAAATAGAAGAGGCCAGACTCAAAAGAAAATATTCTGACTCTAATTACATGAAGTTTAAGAACAGATAAGACTAATATATGGTGATAGAAGAAAGTTATATCCAGGAAGGAGAGGAATTACCAGCTAAGAAAAGGCCCAAGGAACCCCTCTGGAGTGTTGAAAACAGTCTATACATTGATGAGGTAATGATTATATATGTAAACATTCACAAAGCTCTATATTTAAATTTTTTTTGCCATTAATTGTATACCTACTTCAATTAAAAGTAAAGTTAATCTGTTTTCAGAAGGAAGCAAGACTAGCCAATGGACACTTTCACATGGTACTTACTTTGGAAGCTGCCCAGTCAATCCAGCCTTTAGCACATGGGTCAATGTTAATGAGTAAAAGGCCTTCCACAAGCTCTGGATGATTGAGCTGAAAGATGAGATAGATAACAGTATGAAAGTTCCACTCCCACAGTTCTAACACAGTCGGGACATGGTTCACTAATTTATACAAGCCTTAATGTCTCACATTTGAAAGACTACAGAGAGGTGCTAAGAAGAATATGTAAAAAATAGCTCTTGAAATCTGACTTAGCATCTGGAAACCAGTTTCTTAAATTGCTATAAAATGCTCTTGCCTTGTACACATTTATATGGAAGACAAGTTTCTGTTTACAGCAGAGGAGAGCATAATGCAGTTGTTCATTTTCACTTAGCACCGGGGATGCTCAGGTTTAAGATGGGCTGCTTCACATTCATCTCTCTTTGTTCCTAACAAGGGCTTTTATAGTTTTTTTCTAAAACCATCTAAATAGGTGATGCCACTCCTAAAAGACTCTTAAGACTCTCCTATCATCAAGGAGGCATTTAAAAAAATAGGAACATTTCCATGCAAACTCAAAACTCTCCAGCTTCCTTTTTTCCTCTGATTACAGGGCTACCGTGGCATTTGACAGAGAAATTATAAAAAAGAATGTGAATAAAACCTCACATTATTTTACCACACATCAACTCTTTATTTTGTGGTACTGGGGATTGGACATGGTGTGCTATACCACTGAGCCACATATCCAGCCCTTTCTGGTTTTTATTTTGAGATAGGGTCCTGTTAAGTTGCCCAGATTGATAGTGAATTTGACATCCTCCTGCCTCAGATTCCCTAGTAGCTGAGGTCACAGGTGTGGGCCACCATGCCCAGCCCTTGTTATATTTTGGTACATTTCCTTTCAGTTCTTTCCTATGCCTCTGATGAACTTTAAATGAATCTATATTCTAACTTTTTTTTTGGTACCAGGGATTGAACTCGGGTCCCTGAACTTGCGAGGCAGGCGGCGGAACCACTGAGCTAAATCCCCGGCCCTATATTCTAACTTTTATTCTTATACTATAGTGTATGTAAATCACGTGTCATTAAAAGTTCTTAAGCTCAATTTTAATGGCTGTACAAAATTCCCATCATAGCCGGGGATTTAGCTCAGTGGTTCCGGCACCTGCCTTGCAAGCGCAAGGTCCCGAGTTTGATCCCTGGTACCAAACAAAACAAAACAAAAAACAAAAAACTTTGCCAGGGACAACATAATAATAAACTGCAGGGCTGGGGATTTAGCTCAGTGGTTCCGGTGCCTGCCTTGCAAGCACAAGATCCCAAGTTCGATCCCCGGTACTAAAAATAAATAAATAAATAAATAATTCCCATCATAAGCTGCATCTAGACCTTTTTACAGATAGTTCTGCCCTCATTTGTGGTATTTCAGATACTGTACAAAGGCAAAGCTTTGTACAAACCTGTATCTGAGGCAACAGAATCTACACAAAATGTAAGACTCAAAAGAGTGCCAGGTCATTTAACATAGCGGTAATAGCAGTGTCCCAGGCTGTGCTTCAAGGGTGTGGAGACTAATCTCCATGTACTTACTGCAAATCTGCTGAGGATATAAGCTCCAGCTCCAACTCCAATCCCAATGATGCTTTTCAGACTGTGAAATGGAGAGTCCAACAATTGACAGAGTCAACTTCTCTTGAAGGTAGTGTTGCATAATAGAAAGAATACAACCTGGTTTCATATCCTGGCTGCCATTTACTAGATTTGAGAAAGTTTCTTTTTTTAAGGTGTGGTTTCTTCGTTTAAGGTGTGGTTTCTTCGTTGTCCAGGCTGGTCTTAAACGTCTGGACTCAAGTGATCCTCCCACCTCAGTCTTCCAAAGAAATAAAGGTTGGGCAAGCCTTTTTAACTTTCTGAGCCTCATTTCCATATGTGTGTGTACACACACACAACACACACACAACACACACACACACACACACACACACACACGAGGATATAACCAACTACTTTCAAATTTATTTTAATGGTTAAATGAAATATGACAAATCTGGAAGTCATCCTTATTGTTCTTCACCTCAGTATCCAACCCACCAGCACATTCTGGAGAGTCCAGCCCTAGAATATTTCTATTTATTACTGTTCACTTCAATCCATCCCTGACAGTAGGCAGTACTAAGCTATCATCTCTTGGCTGAACTACTCTAATAGTTTAACTGGTTTCCTTGCATTTTCCTTCTTACTATTCTCCAAACTATTACACCAAGAACTCTCTCTTTTTTTTTTTGGTACCAGGGATCAAACTCGGGACCTTGCTCTTTCAAGGCAGGCGGTGGCACCACTGAGCTAAATCCCTGGGCCAAGAACACTCTTTTAAAAATTGTAAACAGCTTTATTTATGCACAATTTATATTCCTAAAGTAATTATTTTAAAAGAGTAAATTGTATATTACTCTTCTGATTAAAATCCTCCAGGGTCTTCTCTTTATGCTTAATATAACTACAAATTGGTCTTTCTCTCTTTCTCAAATTTCACTCATGCCTCTCTTTCCAGGTGATTTCACCCTGGAATCATTATGTCCTGACTCTGCCTAGGTAATTCCCCTGTATCTTCCAGGTTTCAGCCTACATGATACCATCCTAAAACAGGCATTCCCTAACTAGCCTTACTTGTGATAATCCTGCCATTTTCTCTATCACACTAGCTTCGCTGACTTTTTTGCTGTTTTGGTACTGGGAACTGAATCCAGGGTCTTGGGCATGTTAAGCAGCTCTACCACAGAGCTATACCTCCATCCCCACTTTTATGACACGTCATTGTGATTATCTGTTGCTTACTTGTTAACCATCCCCCCCTCACCCCTCCACTTGGCTCCATGAAGTTAGTGAATATTCTGTTCTGCTCATCATTTATCCACTGGAACAGAAACACAATAGAAAATTTTTTTTAAAGGGATGGGCTGGGGGTGTAGTTCAATGGTAAAGCATTTGCCTTGCTTGCACGAGGTCCTGAGTTTGATCCTCAGCACCATGAAGAAAAGAAAAAAAAAGACTGTAGAATGAATCTACCTTAAGTGGGTAAGAACAGGAGGCAGCATTTCAGCCAGCTCATCCATTGTAGGGTACTGGTACCTGAAATTCAGAAAAGATACCTCCTGAATTAGAAAGCACCCACATTCCCAATCTTTGAGAAACATTCCCTTTTTACCAAAAGCTCAAAGGAGTTGATGTGGTGCCTGGATATGACTGGCATGCCTCTATTACAACCATGCTAAAAAGAAAGTAGAAGAATCCATTTGACAGAGGAAGTTACAAGAAGAACTGGTAATATGGCCCCCTCTTATGGTATTTCCAAACCCCTAACAAACATTTCAGTTGAGTTCTAAGCTCAGTAAACTTCCAGCAGTAAGAGTCAACTCAGGAAGTAGATCTTTGTATGCTGCTTATATTTAGGCAGTTAAATGCAAAAGTAAAGCTTTACTGGGTCAAGGCATACAATTACAAATTTTGGGCTGCTTAGTATAAATACTTATTTATTTCTCTTAGGCATAGGATAAACATGATTGTTTTGTTAACTGCTTTTCATGCTATGAATCATCTGATTGTAAAATCATCCAGCAATAGATCCAAAGCAGGAATCTATGAAAAGTGGGGCGCAGACACAGAGATGATTTTGGAATCAGAGATTTTTAAGAGGACTTCCTATATATGAAACAGGATCTTGGGGCCAGGGATTTAGTTCAGTGGTTCAGCCGCCTACCTCACAAGCACAAGGACCCGAGTTCGATCCCTGGTACCAAAAAAAAAAAGAATCAAAAACAGGATCTTTTCTACAACTAACAAGGAATTCAGCTTGCCTATGCCTGGACACTTTAAGGGATGAACTATTCTCTATTTTTGCCCTAAACAGAAAAAGGAACTGGATCCAAATCTGGTTGGCTACCAACTGATCACTGGCCAATTTGCATTTGAGAGGTAGACAGAACAACATGGAAACTAGTCAACAAAAATCTGGAGCCACATTGCCTAGGTTAAAACCCTAGCTGTGCTACTTACTTGTTACATAACCTTAGTCATGTTCCTAGTTTTTCTGGGCCTCAGTTTCCTCACCTGTAAAATGAGAACAGGAGTAAACCTATCCCATGAGGTTGTAAGGATTGAGTTCATAAATGTAGACCATTTAAAGTAGTGTCTGGAAAAAATTTAAAAAAATTTAAAAAAAAAGTAGTGTTTGGAACACTACTTGGTCTGTCAAAGTGCTAGCTTATCTGCAATGTCTATTTATAGCAGTCACTGGCTAAAGACAGCTCTGGAAATGAGTAAGAGATATGAGGAATGAGCACTTCATAGTGTGTGCTCTCACTCTACTTCCCAATGCCCTCTCAAAAGCCACACTGTCCAAGGAACTCTTGAAAGCCTGAGATTCTGCTGGGCAAAGTGGCTCATGATGAACCAGAGAGCCAAGGCCAGTTAGAGGGCAGCTCTGAGAATAACTGGTTACACAGATATCAAATTCCCATCAGGATGCTCAAAGAGATTTGGATTTGGGCCTATGTAGTTGGGAGCTTTAGGGAAGGACACAAAAATAACAGATTTAAAACAGAAAGAGGCTAGATAAAAGACCGAGAAGAGGGTACTCCAGACACTTATGCCTGTGATCACAGGGAAGCAGGTCTGTGCCATAGAGAGCCATTCCTGGATATGGGCAAATGTGCAGTTATCCCCAGTAAACGGTGCATAACAGTCTTCTGATACTGAGGAGAGAAAACATGAGGACATGGGTTGATGAATCTAACTTGTAGCTGTGCTAAATCAAGTGGGAGGGAGGCATATGCTGTTGTCCTCCCTAGAGCTCACTCATTGCTTTTCTGAGTGCCTGTCTCCCACAGGACCATGGCTGTAGCCTTACCCGGTTGGGAAAGAAGGTGCGCCTTCCTGCTGGCCTGGGGCATCCACATGACAGACAGCAAAGTGCTGAGTGATCTCCTGCATATCCTCAAAGTTGAAGAATGTGTTAAAACAGGATTTATCTACAAGACAAAAATATCTGTAAGCCATAGGCTCTCCATTTCTCTCCAATTTTCATTTATTCAGCCAGTGCTTATCATTTTCTTTTCATTTCCTTTTAGTCACCATTCTACTAAAGTGAGGTTTCTGAAGAAACAGTCTCATTTAAGTTGCCCTAAAGGCTGAATAAGAGTTATCTCAATGACTTGACAACAACTAATTCTTAATTCCACACAGTGTCTCCAAAGTAGAAACCACTTTGTGGATGTTTACTGGTTTTCTGGTTTTGCACAAAATAATTTGTTATCCATACTGCTATTGTTTCTCTTGTATCTTATTTCCATATCTAACAAAGAGACACTGACTACACTCCAAGTGCCTAGCTAGAGTGAATATTCTGAGAAGCTTACATTCATCATCTGGGAGTTTGTCTCTTCTTGAAACTGTCAGGATGCAGGAAGGGGCTGCTGCTTCAATTTTTACCCTTAGCACAACAGCTTAAATCACTTTTATTTTTGGTACCAGGGATCAAACTCGGGACCTTGCTCTTGTGAGGCAGGCGCCAGAACCACAGAGCTAAATCCCGGACCCTTAAATCACTTTTCAGGCTGACAGCCACAAAAGTTCTAGCTTTATAAATGCAGACTACCTCTGAAAGCCAGAGGAGGGTGAAAAAATATTCAGACTGCGTGTCTGTGGCAAAAGCTGATTATACTATTGGCTGTGCATCCCTTCTCCAAAATGCTTGGGATCAGAAGTATTTTTGGATTTTGAGACATACGCATCATGTAATGAGATATCTTGGGGATGGGACCCCAGTCCAAAGATAAAATTTACTTACGTTTCATATATACCTAATGCACAAAGCCTGAAGGTAATTGTGCACAATATTTTTGGTGCCCTTAAGTGTTGACTGTGACGTATCATACGAGGTCAGGTGTGGAATTTTCCATTTGGGGAACCATGTGGACACTCAAACTATTTCAGATTCTGGATCATTTTGGATTTCTAATTTTTGGATTAGGGATGCTCTACCTCTACCAGTTAGAAAAGTCCACTTAAAGTTACTGATGAGTCTACAGAAAGGATACTTTTACTTTTTTTTTTTTTTTTTGGTACCAGAGATTGAACTCGGGACCTTGCGCTTGCAAGGCAGGCACTGTAACCACTGAGCTAAATCCCCGGCCCAGGATACTTTTACTTTTACAATTCATTGAAGTCTTCATAACAAAGTTTAACTCTGGATTTTCCAATGTGAAACATGAAAAAAAAAAAAAAAAAGCCAAAGTATATATTTGAAAAAAACTGACTTCAGCTCTACTTTCTTTCTTTTTTTTGGTACCGGGGATTGAACTCAGGACCTTGTGCTTGCGAGGCAGGTGGCGGAACCACTGAGCCAAATCCCCAGCCCAGCTCTACTTTTTAAATCAGTTCATCATATAATTTGCAGTCCTTTAGCAGGTGTGACACAAAGGCAAGATATAATTCACTGTCTTCCAAAACACATTCCCCTCCATATTTACCAGGAACTTTAACCCTGATATCAATAAATGTAGCAATAAGGAGGAAAGGTTAAGACAGAAAGGGGAAAATCTTCTCTATTAAAAACTATATATATACATTTTATTCTTTTTTTTTGGTACCGGGGATTGAACTCGGGTCCTTGTGCTTGCGAGGCTGGTGGCGGAACCACTGAGCTAATGCCCTGGCCCAAAAAACTATATATTTTTTAATATATAAGGAAAGCATTATGATAAACTGAGAAGGTATAAAATCAAATACATACGATTGAGTCCAATGTCATGATAAGTTAGGATAACTGGTCTGTTTCCCTTCGGTAAGCCTCTTATAGTGACATGGACCATACCATGATTTGTTTCTATGTCATGTTCCTGTAAGAGAGTGTAAGGTCTCAGTAAAGGCAGAATGAACTTTCCAGGTTGCTAAAGTTTCACAATACCTGCTTCATTGCTCTTTTTCACTCACTGGGGCAGGACACATTAATGAACTATAAGCATATTATACATAATATTCACATTTTCTAATTTTGCTGGATAGATAATAAATAAACAGATCAAGAGGAAAATACACCTTGCCAGCCCCAAAGCTCATTTAGAAGTCCAAGAAGTCAGGGATCTGTTGAGAATACATTTGCAATTGGCTATGAGAAGGAGATCAGCAAGGTGGATAAGGAGCCAGATAATATTTGGGAGAAGAAAAGTTAAGGAAACAAAGTAAAAGAAACTGCTGGGCAAAAAGTCAGAGGTTTCAAAGCTTCTGAGCATATGTTCAGCTACAGATAATTTGAGTAGACACCTGTGGGTGTGTGTACTTAAGACCCTTTCCTTCTTTCTTGGGTTCTGTTATTCGTTATTACCCACATATTACAGGAGCTCCTGCCTGCCATATTTGTAGAACACAATCCTTTGGCCATGGCTACCTGGAAAGCATCTGGCCATGCTGGGTCAGCATCCTCCCCACAGGAATTTATAATTGGGTCTAAGAGATTCTATCTTTAGCTTGGTTGTTCTCTTGAAAAGAGAAGTAAACATGGGATCTTTCACTATTTTAACTCTTGATTCCAGCTGTGTATGGTCTTAAGTTCTGAGACATCCCTAGGTTGACTCTGGTTCAAACTAGTTTGGGTGGATTTACTCCTTATTCTCCAAAGAACTGTAATTAAGGCAATGAATAAAGTTGTTTTTGTTTTGTTTTGAGACAGGTCTTGCTATGTAGTTCAGACTGGCCTTGAACTCACTATGGAGCCTGGGCTGGCCTCGAACTCTAGGTGATCCTCCTGCCTTAGCCTCTCGAGTGCTGGGATTACAGGTATGCGTCACCATGCCTGGTTTGGCAATGAGTAAAGTTTAAGATGCAGTCAGAGGAGAAGTCAGGAACTAAACAAAGACAGAAAAGGATGTGATCAGTGGATAGAAAAGAAAGGGACTGCAGAAAAGTTAACTAAGATTTGGTCTATTCCTCTCCAACTTTTATATTTCTGCAAAATTAAAAATTATTTGTCTTCGTGAATTACTGTTCATAAATTCTGCATATATCTCAGAAAATATGTTAGATGAGACAAGATTAACTCTGTCCATAAGAATCTCAATAAAGGCAAAGGACTTCTAACTTAATTTCCTACCTAATAATGAACCTCAACAGCGCTTTGGCTTTTCCTTTGATATGGGACACAGAAGACAATCTCAGGCTAATTAGACATCGGTATATTTCAAATCATAGGCCCAAAACTGTTGTAGACAGATAATCCTATCAAATCAAGCAATGAGTGATTCAATATTTCTGTTATTCTCAGTTATTGATATCTCCTATTCAAGTCAATTTAAAAGCTTGAATGAAAGTAAGAAAGGGCAGAATCTGTGAACTAGCAATGGAATAAAACATAGGGGTTAGATAAGAGAAATATAAAGAAATAAATCATTATTACTTCATTGAGTGTTTGCCTTATAACCCCAGACTTACTGAGGGAACCCTTCCTACCATGTTCATTTAGTACATTTCCATTCACTGAATCCCTACTATACGCTAGACCCCAGACTAAGCTCTGAGTATAAAACAGCAAACCAGAGAGATGTGATCTCTGCTTTTATACAGATTATGTTCTAGATAGGGAAGCAGAAAATGACCAAACCAACGCATAACAATTGTTTGTGGTAAGTACTAAGAAAATATAGGGTACTATTTATTTATTTATTTATTTTTTAATTTTTTTTATTTTTTTCAAAAAACAAAAACAAAACATAGTGTTGAGTGAAAAGGCTAAGAAACAATGACATTAATGGTAGGGTACTATTTAAAAACTAAGAAAGACATAAACTTCAGTAAGCAGCCAAGAAAGTGCAAATTATTATTATTATTATTATTTTTGGTGCTGGGGATCGAACTCGGGACCTTGAGCTTACAAAGCAGGCACTGGAACGACTGAGCTAAATCCCCAGCCCGAAAGTGCAAATTAAATTCAATGAGATGCTATTTCATACACACTAGAACATAGAAAAGTAAGAATTCTATGTACTATTATTAAGTATGTAAACTGGAACAACTATCCTGGAGAATAATTTGGTTATTTCCAGTAAAGTTAATCAGTGCTTATCAGGTTGGGGGTGTAGCTCAATGATACAGCACTTCCCTGTAGGGGCCCTGGGTTTAACCCCCAGCACTGCTGGGGAAAAAAAAGCCAGCTGTGGTGATATACACCTGTCATCCCAGCACTCAGGAGGCTGAGGCAGGAGGATCTAGCTTGAGGCCAGCTAAGTTCCACAGTGAGTTCAAGACCAGCCTAGACTACAGACCCTCTCTAAAAAAACAGAAACAAAAACAACAACAACAAAAAACCTACTCTACAGCAATTTTACCTTTAGGTATAATCTAAAGAAATTCTCAAATATGGTCATGGTCACACACACACACACACACACACACACACACACACAGAGAAAAGCATGAATAGAGATGTATGCTGCAACCTTGCTTATGTAAAAAAAAAAAAGTTGGAAAACAGTCCACATATTCATCAATAGGAAAAGTGATGAATTATGATTTATTCATATCATAAAATACAAATAAAAATGAGCAAATTAGGAATATAAGCAATAACAGAAAAGCTTAAAAATATAATGCTGAATAAGAGCAATATGCAGAAGGATATGTATGTAATTATCATGTAGATATTTTTTTTTTTGGTACCAGGGATCAAACTCAGTACCTCAAGCTTGCCAGGCAGGTGCTGCGCCACCGAGCTAAATTCCCAGCCCCTCACATAGATATTTTAAAAAGCAACGCTATAGACTGTATATGTATATGTACATATACATATTTAAACTGTAAAATGTTGGGAAGAAAAGGAATGGACATGAACTTTAGGACTCGGCTTCCTTCTGGGAGGGGACAGATTCTAAAAGAAAACTCAAGATGGTTTCCTGTCTCTCAGGTTTTATCTCTTGACAGAAAGAACAGGCAGAAAGGGAGAAGTCCCTGCCACAGAGTGATGATACCGGAGAATTCAAATTCCACAGAGCGCCCAACAACTTCTCACCCTGCCAATCAGTGGCTAGAGATCTCCTTCTCTCTTACCTTTGGTGCAGTACTGCTTAAATATTCTATCTTGGACTTAGCTGTGCCACCGAGAAGGGAGGGAAACGTGCGTTTATACCATGGTCTTAAAAAGGACTTTCCCAGGCCCCCCAGGTATTTATTGACTGTGTGTGTGTTTGTGTGTGTGTGTGTCAAGGTGGGGGAGGATAGTGAGCTACCAGGGAAGGTAAAGAGGAAGATGAGAACAAAGGGAAATAGAATAGATGAGGTAAAAGAAAACAAGTGTAGATAAGGAATCCCAGCACTCTGGGAGGCTAAGGCAGAAGAATCACAAGTTTGAGCCCAGTCTGGGCAACACTTACTAAGACTCTATTTCAGAATTTAAATAAACAAAAAATAAAAAGGGGGTTGGGCTGGGATGTTGCTCAGTATGAAGGCCCTGGGTTCAACCTTCAGTACCATAAGGAAAAAAGAAGAAAAAAGAAAAAAAAAGTAGATGAGGGAACAGGGTAACTGTAACTACCCATAATCCATAATCTAGATGAAATTAGAGTTAAAATTGGGTCCTTACAAAATCTCAACCTTTTAGAGAGATCTGAGTCCCTACCTCCACATAATGTGCCTTCAGATCATGTAATAAAGTTATCAAAGGGCCAAGAGCCTTAGGCAGCATTTATTACCCTCTGAAGCCATGCCTGGTTGTCAATAAAGTTCATCTCATAAAGTTCATCTTCATTTTCAAAGTACAGGAGTATAAATGTTCTGAGCAGAATAAAGAATGAAGAGCAAGGAGGTACTCACCTCCACAAGGATTAGTGAACACATCCTTCATAAATATATATACAAATAGCTTGAACCAGACTCCCTCTGAAGATGAAGTGAGGAAACCCTGGCTCACTCAAAGCTCAGGCCCCTGCAGGCAGTAAGTGAGCTGCTGCCATCTTCCTACTTTGGTCAACTAACATCTGTCTTATAGCCTCCTCCTCTGCTTTCAGCATTCCTATCCCAACATTCCAGAGTATGACCCCACAATGAGAATGTGTGCTCAAATGGCATGGCCTAATGTAGCACCTCACTGGCTCTGGGTACCATCTCCAAGGCTGTGTATTTTGTGAACATGATTCCTTTACTCTCCAAGCTTATAAAAAAATCCTGAAATCATACAGGTTCGTGACATACTGCTCTTTCCTGAACTGCCTCTTCCTCTCAATGAAAGATGTAGAGTTTTAATCTGTGAGCTTT